TTCTGTGCCATCAGCTGAGCCCCCTTCCCTCTTGGAGCCTCAGTTTCCTTCTCTGTGAAGTGGAGCCGTGTGACTGTCTCCCTCTGTCCCTCCGGCCCTGGCATTCTGGCCTGGCTTCATGGTCTCTGCTCTGCATTCACGTGTCTCTCCTACTGCCCTTCCTGATCACTGCCAACAGAGAAGCCCCTTCTAGCCTTCCCCAGCCTCTGGGTCTCCTGCAAGGGAACCCGCCCTCCAGGTTGTTCTGCCACTTATGTATCCAACATTTACCATAGAACACAAACGATGACGATACTCACAAGGACGGTAAGGATGAAGCCGGCTTGGATGCCTGTGCATGCCAGAAAACTGACGTGCGTCATCTTATTGAAGCCTCACAGCAATTTGATGAGGAAAGTGCTACTATGACTTCCATTTTAGAAGTGGAAAAACTGAGGCTCAGAGAGAACATGTGATGTTCCCAGCTTGTAAGGGGTGAACCAATGACCAGCCTGGGATTCTGATCCCAGACACGGCCACAATTCAGTTGCTCGCAGCATATCCACAGTTGTTGTTGTTGTTGTTGTTGCTGTTGTTGTTGTTGTTCTTTTCTTCTTCTTCTTTTTTTTTTTCTGAGACAGAACCTCACTCTGATGCCCAGGCTGGAGTGCAGTGGTGCAATCTCTGCTCACTGCAATCTCTGCCTCCCAGGTTCAAGGGATTCTCCTGGCTCAGCCTCTTCAGTAGCTGGGATTACAGGTGCCTGCCACCACATTGGGCTAATTTCCGTATTTTTAGTAGAGACGGGGTTTCACCATGTTGGTTGGGCTGGTCTTGAACTCCTGACCTTATGATCCACCCGCCTCTGCCTCCCAAAGTGCTGGGATTATCCACACTTCTTTACAGAGTGCCAGCTGATAGGCTTCTAAATATGCCTGGACTGGGTAGACTCTATTAATTATCACAGTCAATAACGCTGTGACCTACACAGGACGAAAGCAGGGTGAGCGCCCTTCCTCCAGGCCCTGCAGAATCTGTCTCTTGAGGCCAGCTGCCCTCCAGGTACCTGCATGTGGCCTAAGTGTTCACAGCAGTTCTGTCACTTGCAGCTCTTTATCAGTTTCACCTGGCCCATCACACTCCCCTGGGGCCAAGGCTGCTATCTGGGGCATCTCTCTATGACCGACAAGTCTGATTCTGGATGCTCAGGAAAGAGGTGCAGAATGGACGGATCATGAGGAGTGGAGGTAGCGGGGGCCCCTCTCTCCAGCCTGGCTCCCCTGTGGCCTCCGGCCTGACACAGGCTTCTGTCTACACAGACCTTTCTTCTCCCTTTTGTCTGCTTTGTGATAGTTAATAAACCAAACCATCACTGCCTTCTTAGCCTTCAGGAAGTTTAACAACTGTTATCTACCACAAACCACAGAAGCCTTAAATTGCAGCAGGAATGGTGACAGTGACAGATTAGGATTTTTAAAATCAAAACCAAACATGTCCCCATCATGGCTAAGAGAAGGGCTGAGTTGACTTGAAAATAATGCACTTAGGAAATTTTGCGGTGCATGCTAAATGAAGTCTCCCCTCAGCACTTTCTCCCGCTCCTCCAGCAGCGTGTTAGTCTACTTAATTGATTCCCAAAGATTTCCCACCACGACCTCAAACTATTCCCACTGTGGGGAGATGGATGGAATCCTGGATTTCATCCAAGGCCAGGATGAACAGTTCATTTCGAATTTTAAAAGGGGTGGAGTGGGGAGATGGATTTGGAATCAAATGGTCCTTTTTCTCCAGCCTTAGAAGATGGAACTGAAGAGCAAGGGGAAAATCATCAGTGACAACACTTAATGCATTTTAAATACTTATTACAAGAAAAATTAATTTGTTAAATTAGCCCCATAGATACAGGTTATAAAATGTCTCCTCAAAAATGCAAAACTCAGAGCAACTAATCCGTCTCAAACTTGCTGCTGCACAGCCAAGTCGCAAGGTCACGTTCATGTTTGAGCACTAGTAAGTGGGGCAGGAGCCTCCCCTCAGCCCCAGAGACTGTGCTGAGCACATCACAAACACTACCCCGGTAATTCTCTCTAACACTACGGTTATTTGATAAACTTCTACAGCTACGCACTGGGTGAGAACCCCCACCCCTCCAATGCTGTCCTGAGAAGTGAATACTGAGTGAACAGAAATTTCTCTGCAAGCCCCGATGCACCAGGAGCGCCGGTGCCTTCAGCAATTGTTGTCTTATCACCCCCCTTGCTAGTAGGGGAGAGGTGGCCCAGGCTGCCCACACTGACACACCTGCTACAGTGAGGTCCGGCCAGGTCTGTGCTGCGCAGGCTTCAGCTCTTTAATTCCCCTTCCTCAGTAGATGAGAGCCTGGAGGCCAGTGACATGACAGAGGAAAGGCCCATCGATGTGCGAGGGGGTGTCATCTGTGAAGGTGCATCTGTGGGAAGCGCCAGGGCTCTTCCAGGGCGCCAGCTGGATGCCGCCTCGACCTCCCCCCCAGCCCAAGTGTTACAGAGCACTCCTGACTGCTCCCCGTTTCCTGCCTCCACCTTGTCTCTGACCTTGGGCCAGCCCAGGGACTCTTAGACTTCTGCTCACACTCGGCCATGTGGCCCAGGGCTTCGGCTTCCTGTAGCTGACCTGGCGTCTCACCTCTGTCCTCCATGTCCTGGGCCCTCACTGCCTTCCTGGTGTCAGGGCTGACAGACAGGGAGGCAGCACAGCAGAGAGAGGGGGAGAAGTGCCTGCGGGAACAAGAACGTCATGCCTGTGTTCAAGTCCCAGATGCTTCACTTTCTAGCCTCAAGTGTCCCCCAACACGGGTTACTTACGGAGCCACCATCTTCTCAGCTGTAAAAGCAAGAGAAGGGCTGGCAGGAGGCGTGTTGGTTATGAGTGCAGATACTGCTTGGGCTCAATTCCTGGTTCTGCCACTTCCCATGTGACCTCGAGCAACTTAAACTCCTGGTGCTAAGAGTTCCCATCGATAAAATTCTAACAATAGCACTAAACTCACTGGGTCCCTGTGATGAGAACACCTATACTCCCTGGTAGACTAAGCTCTCTAGAAGAGCCAGTGTTCAGTCTTAGGAAGATACAGGTGGACGGGAAGTCTGAATAGGAAGCTGCTCATGAAAGAGCCTCGCATGCTATCTGGCACACAGTAGGTACTTAACATACATTCTAAAATAGAGGGTAGAGTATTCAGCCTTTCAGCACCTGCTTTCACCTTACCCAAAACAAAAAAAAACACCAGGGGTCAAAAAGTACCTAAGAACAACAGCCAAGGGGGTTGGGAGCATGAGAAGCTCCATCTCAGTTACATAAACGAACCACTGGCTGAGAAACTTCCCCTCTGGGCCCAGCATCAGCTCCCTAGGAAAGAACCATGGTTAACCAGCCCTCCTGCCTGCCCTACCCACACACCCGCCAGGCCTGGTCAGCCAGGACCACTGGGAATGCCTCAGCTTCCTGCATTTCCTCGTAATCCAAGGGGGTGGGAGGGGAAGGTGAGGATGAAGGGTCTGTGTCCAGGGAGGGCAGGCTCTGCACTCAGGCTGCACAGGGCACACAGCACACCCAGGGAGTCCTCCCAGGCCACCCGCATGCCCATCCCTTCTCACTACCTTATGCCCTTGAGGGAGGAGTCTGAGGGATACTCATGCTTAAGACCCCCATGCCAGAAATACAAGCAATCTGTGATATTTCCAGAGTGTGGGCCAGGACTCTGCTGACAGATTCAGGGGCTTCACTCACTTAATCCTCTTAATCATCAGGAGTCAGCGATTATCCTCAGAGCCATTTCAGGATGGGTAAGCTAAGGCTGAGAGGTCTGATGGCATGGCAAGGGCATGTGGATAAGAAGTGACAGCAGGGTTTGAGCTCAGGTCCTCAGCCTGCGACCCGGGCACTCGCCCATCTCAATGCAGACCACACTGATGCACGAGCAGGATGTCTCCTTCTGGAGAACCACCCTAACCTCCTCACCCTTCCCCTCCTCTGTCAAAGGCCACTGCCTCCCCGACAGTTTTCAGAGTAAAATCCACATCGACCATTTCGAATCCCTGCTCTTCTAGGATCTGGCCTCGACTGATCTTTCTGCCCTTCGCTTTAGAGTTGCCCCCAGACAAACACAAATGCTAACAGCTCAGGTCCATCTGCCATCTGCCCACCCCAGGGCTCACTGTGACTCTTCTTTGGAATTCCCTTCCTGCTCCCTCCCATACCAATCTCTGTGCAAAGCCTGCCTAGGTTCCCAGGCCCTATCTCGGGTCACCTCCACCGGCGAAGCTTTCCCTAACTCACCCCAAGCCAGCAGGTTCTCCCTCTTCCTTGCTTAAGGCAAGGAGTCACTTTCCTACTCGAATCAAAGCAGCAGCTTTCAAGTTTCTCCTGGGAGGTGACCTCAGGCCCTGCCAGGGTGAGGTGAGAGCGCTGGTAACAGGGAGAAAGTGAATTCTGCCCTCTTCAACAGGGCAGCTACTCTTTTATTTGCTTCTATGCCTACATCAGATTTCATTGCAAGAAAGGGCTCTCAGAGGAAATAAATCTTGACCTCAGAGTGTCAGATGTTGGTGAAGATGTCAAGATACCCCAGGGCTGGGCTGGGTGGAGCAGGACTCAACTCAGTGTCCCCACAATGCTGTGCACAGAGCAGGAGCTGCAAATGTCGAGCTCCCAGGCTAGAAACCTTGGTCAAATAGCCCTGTGTGAGGAAGCTTCTGAGGGTCAGCGTATTGCTCCTCCCAAATACGCAGTGGAGAAGGCACTGCCACACTTCTCGGCTGGCAGCAAACCAAATGCTGGGTGCCAGGAAATGGATGGTGAGCTCACTAACCTCCAAAAGTTTCAAAAACATATAAACCTAAATGCACAGGAAAGACTATCATCGTCTGCATTTTAAGGGCCTGGGTTTGGATGGGGGTCCTTCTGAGTGGGCCCCAAATCCAAGACTTCAACCTGGGAAGGGGAAATGGAAGCCATCCCGCCTAACTGAGGAAGCCAAGCACTCAGACGGGAAATGTTTTTATCCATCCACCTCACCTCCTTAGAATGGGAGGTGAACAGTGAACTAGTGCATTTATTTTAAAAGCGCAACAATTTCAGGATGGTGGGATGAGGCCCTGCGACGGGGTGAATTTACTTCACTTGACACCAAGAGCCCTCGATACTCAGGGAAGTGGGACTTTGTAGACAAAGCCAGGACAATTCCCCTACCCCCATCCCCCCAGCAGTGATTCAAAAATCATAAGGTTACTTTCTATGTCATGGCTGTCTCCCTCTCACCCGACTGCAAAGCGGCCGCAGATGAACATCTGGCCCCTAGATGGGGGTCAAGGAGCTGGGACTGTGATGCAGGGAAGATGCTGAGTGGGTGGGAGTCTCTGAATCCTGAAGCAAGGGCTGAAGGTGTGCACCTGTGTGTGGGGGCTGGTGCTAATGTCTTTTGGGAAGCAGATGATGAGTGTTAGGGGTTGTGTGTCTATGCTGGGGACAAGGTCCTGTGGTGTTGCTGGTGATGCTGACTGCCTTGCCTACCCCAAGTTGGATGAGGAGAGTCCCATCAGGCTGCCAGGCAGGGAGGGCAAAGGAGAGAACCATTCTGTGGGCTGGGCAGGCAGGGCGGCCTCCCCACCCTGGGTGCCTGCAGAGCCTGGCAGCCCCACACTTTGGCTGTCTGATGCCACACGTCTAGAGTTCCTGGGCCGGCTGCTCCACAGCCTGCTCCTCCCCCGGCCGCATGGCCTCCTGCACGTAGACGATGAACTCCGAGGCCTCCCCGCCCTGCGTGTAGACAGTCACCGTCTCAATGCCCTCCACGTCGTCGGAGGACACCACCAGGTGGTGCTGCTCGGCCAGCTCCACGGACGCTTGCTGGACGGTCTCCTGGATCATGACCGTGTGGTTGGAGCTGGGCTCCTCCTCGGTGACCTGTGGGAGGAGGGCAGGAGAAAGGTCACTCAGGGCCCACTTCCAGGTCCAAAGTAACAAACTACAGCTTAGGAGCCACCAGCGCACTGCAGGAGGGTGTCCACTCTCCACGGATCATCTCTACGAGGCTGTGCTTGCTTTCATGCCCATTTTACAGATGAACAGAGCAAGGCTCAGCAATGTAGGGCAACCTGCCCCCAGCTGTGGCAAACGTTTCTAGATGCCAAACTGCTTCCCAGGGCTTCTAGCAGGTGTGCGGTTACCTAGAGTATGAGGGTTGGAAAGCATTGTGGGGGTTATTTATGCAAATGTCAGGGGTAGGGGTTGTGGGGTGCTCCTGGAAGTTTATAGCTGGTCCATCTGTCAGTGATAAAGGCACTGGGTCCATCCAGGGCTCTCTGCTTTTCCATACTCGGGGAGCTCACCTCTGTGTGAAGATCTGTATCATACTAGGAAGGAGCAGATGTCCAGCAGGCCTGATTTTCCCCAGGTGTCATCTGTCCATCAACACTAATGCCTCAACTATTTGGGGAAGGCCTGCTGGTGGAAACTCACTGCCACAGGGCTGGACAGGAGAGTCTTCCGGGTGTCCGCCAAGGAACAGGACCTCATGGATTCTATGGCCAGGCCTTTCTCTGAAGCTCCAAGCAGCCAGATTCCAGGCAAGACCAAATGCCAGCTGCCACTAATGCCCCACATCCCCGATGCTGCCAGCTCCGGGCTGTTTGTAAAGAATAACTGTCTTTGATCTTGAGATGAGAAACAAAAGACATGAAGTTGAGATCTTAGAGCAGTAAAAACAATGAACGGCTAGAAACTAACATGAGAGGAAAGCAAAGGGCCTGGAACTGTCCAGCTGGGGGATAAGAGAGTCTTCAGATTTACAGAGAGGTGCCAGGAACACCCCTTCATTTCCAGGTGAGTCTGAATGGCAGGTGGGAAGAGCTTTGTCCTGCATTTACCGGGCTTGGGGTGTCAGTTCCACCATTTCTAAGCTATGAGGCCTGGGCAAGACACTTTCCCACAACCTTCAGTTTACGCATCTGTAAAACGGACCAAAATGTGTTCTTCAGAGGATTCCTGGAAGAATGGAAGGAGATTTTATATGCAAAGTGGGTGCTCAATAACAGCACTGACCTTTCAATCCCTTCATTCATTCATTCAACCACATTTTTTTTTTTTTTTTTGAGACAGGCTCTCTTGCCCAGGCTGGAGTGCAGTGGTGTGATCTCAGCTGACTGCAGCCTCCGCCTCTTGGGCTCACGCCATCCTCCTGCCTCAGTCTCCCAAGTTGCTGGTACCTATAGGTGTCCACCCACCTCGGCCTCCCAAAGTGCTGGGATTGCAGACATCAGCCACTGCTCTTGGCCTCAACCACACTTTTTTAAATACTTGCTGCTGACTGGAAGGTATTCTAGCATGTCAAGCACTCATTCTTTCACTCCACAGAAGTTTTGTCATCCTACCAGGTACCAGTAGACAGCAAGCTCCACAAGGGCAGGACCATGTCTGCCTGCTCACAGCTGTTTCCCCAGAGCCAAGCTTAATACCTGCACTCAGCATGTGCTCAGTACTTGTTGACTGATGATCCACTAGGCGCCAGATGCTAAGAAAACCACAGTCCTTTGAAGAAGCTGAGTCTCGGGGCGCAGGCACAGGGCACAGTGAATGACTGTGCTGCGGAGTAGCTGGGCTCCTGCAGGGGCGGCCTGTGCAGGTGTTGAGGTCCCAGGGGAGGCATGGGGATGGGGTCCAGGCAGACCGGAAAGCAATGACTCCCAGGAGGTGTAGGGATGGCAAGTCGGCTCGGACAGCCTCCATGAGGTCCCACTCGCAACATGTCTGGGTCCTTTCCTGGCCTGCAGTTGGCATTGGGTGGCCTCCTACTCCCTGCCTCTTCTGACTCTGCTCTCTCTGGGGAGGGTCCAACTGACTTGGAAGGTCTCATCCTGAACCTGTGATTACTCCAGTCTCCATGAGTGAGAAGGGCTGTGTCAACAGGTGGGGCATGTTTAATTCCGACAGAAAAATAGAAAAGGTTCCTCCAGGGTGGGCTCCGGAGGTTCCAACATTATGGATTGGAAGAAACTTTTGATTTGGACTGATAGAATTCCCCCAGAGCTGGAGAGCTATTCTGAGTGGAAACTGTCAGTACATTTAGACTGATTTGCTGTTTTAGCGTGAACTGAGACCTGTTTTTAGTTCTTTTCCTATTTGTTTCCATTTCATTTAACTGGGAAAAGATACCATGAACCAGGATTTTAGAAGTAAATATTGATTTATTTCACTTTGCAAGAGAGAACCTGACAGAAGATTGGGAAAAGGGGTGGGAATGCACAGCCAGTCTTTTCTCCTTTTACCTGTCAGTAAACACGACACAAGGAAAGGGTGGGGGGATGGGGATGGTTGACACCCAGGTCCCCAGGGCCTCACATGTGCAAACAAGCCCTCCACACTCCGGTAAACAGACCACACACAGTACAGGGAGACCAACCCATCCATGAGCTGTAACGCAGGCTTGGGGTCATGGCACCATCATGTAGACATAGTGACTGCCACCAAAGCTAAGCCTAAAGAGGACAGTGACTCCTTCACTGACAGAAATTTTCCACTGGCTAAAGACTCCCACCCTTTAAAAACTCTAACCCCACAATGCCCATGTCCTGACAGTGGCTGAAATCACTGCCAAGGACAAGGAGAACCACACCAGGGACAGGCTTTTTAGGAGCAGCGGCTGCAGCCTCCTGTCCCCTGGCAGCCCAGGGGACACACTCCAAGTTCTCAGGAACAGCCCCAGGAGAAAGCAGGAGGTCCCCAGCTGGCCTGACATCGCAGAGGAGGCCAGTGTGCCTGACCTGAAGGTAAACAATGTGCTAATAACTCTGCAGCACCTGAGGACTGCTTCTTGGACGGTGGCATTGGCCACAGAAGGTCTGTGGTGGGAAAAGGCATCACAGAGAGAAGACAGTGAGCAAAGAACGGGTGTGTGCCCTACAGACCCGCCAAGGCCACTGGCCACCTCCCTGTCACCAAACCCACCGGGCAGAGTCCCATCTTTACCCTTCCAGAGTGCTCTCTACCATTTGGCATGAGACGCCCTCTTCACTGCTTGCCAGCACTGGTCTCTGTGCCAGACTGCAGGGTCGCTCACTGCTCTTCTCTTTCTGCCCACCACAAAGCCTGGAGGATTCCTGGGTCTCCCACCTTGACTTCTTCTCTGGACCCCTGGGCACTTTCAGTCCCTGCTGAGCCAGGCTGCAGCCACACTCCTGAACTCCAGATCACACCTCCGTCTCCAAGTGGGAAGCACACTCAGGGGTGTCTGTCAAACAATGTCTGAACAGGGTGTGCAAAAGTCACAGGACAGAAGGCATTTAGGGGAGAAGCAGCAGGTGAGGCCTGAAATGAAGTTTGCAGGTGGATCTTGAAAAGCCTTGATGATCAGCTGAGAGACTGGGACTTCATTTTACAAATGAAGGCATTAAAAATTTTCAAAGAAGGGCCCTGTGTCATCCAATCTGACATTTATGAATCAAAACTTGCCTAACATGAGAAGACTTTCTGAGAAGTAGGCTTCTCTCATGATCCCTCTAAGTATTTACATTTATTTGCCTGTAATATCTTTTCTAAGTATTCAATCTATTTAAAGATAACCTTTCTTCCTGTATTTTGTTTTTTTTTTTTATTTTCCAGCCTCCAGGATTTGTCCAACAGAATCACCACAAAATTCACCCACTGCTAATTATCATAGTACAAAAAAAGTTTCCCAACATCATCCTTTGGGCTTAATTCACCAGAAAAAGTGATGGCGGCAATGGCAATGTGTATTTCACAAGTCCTGCAAAGAGCAGGTTTCCTGGTGTGCACAGATGCATGCTGTTGCCCTGCCGTGTTACTGAGCCTCTGGGACGTGCAGGGTTCCTGAAGGTCCCCTGCAGCCTGCCGTTGGGCCTCCTTTACACTCTCTTGAGTTTTCGAGTGGCTCTGCTGTCCCTGCAGACACTGCCCACACAGATGTCCACATCACAAAAAGCCAAGATGTAGAGAAGATGCTTTACAGAAGGGGTTCACAAGGCTTTCTGCAAAGAGGGCACTCCCTTTGTGCATTTCACAGTATATGACCATACTGTTTGCTTCTATACAGTTTTTACAAACAAGGCACCTCCTTCCTTGCTCCCACAGCACCCAATATACACCCAGCCACTTGTAGTTTACTGAACACTCTCCCATGCCTTGTCCCGATTCTTTACACACAATGTCTCGTATGTGGACATTTGTGTTCCCACTTTACAAATGGAGACAGTGAAGCTCCTACTGGCCTGGTAACTCGAGTCAAATAGCCAGAAAGTAGCAAAAGCTCGAACCTAGTCTGGTTGATATGATTAAATTATCACTCTTTACTCCTCCTGATTAGTCTCAGGCTGGCTGTAGAACTCTCAACCACTCTCTTTGTTCAAAATGATCACTCTAGTAGCTTAATCTATTAGCACAGGCTTAAAATTGTTCTCCACAACAGAAATAATATGGCTTTCATGGTGTCATTATCCCCTGAGATGGGTACTCCATTTTCCCCAATTGCTGTATCTAACACATCTATGAGATGAATTATTAGCAGCATAGATGGCTTAATAGAAACCCTTAACCCCTGGGACGCACAGATTGTTCACGGAATCAGGCACTGCATTCTGCTGTTCGGCTGCCTCCAGTGTTCGGGTGTCTGGACGGGATCACTGTCAGGACCGGCACGTTGCTGGGCTCTCTTCATGCTGAAGGGCAGCTTCCCCCGGAGACCCCATGTCTTCCTTGGCCTTAACCCGTCATCATCCATTTATCCAGCAAATGCCGATAGGGACTCCACTGTGTGCCAGGCAGCGGCTATGGCTCTGACTGCCTGGGTGTCTCGCTTTTCTTCTGCTCCTCTGCCTGTTCTGCCTTCTCCTGCTCCTCTAGCTCCTCTCCTCACTTTCTTTGTAAAAACCCATTCCTTGAAGGTTAAGCTT